GGATGTGAGAGTTGGACTATAAAGAAAGCTGAGCACAGAAGAATTGATGCTTTTGAACTGTGGTGTTGGAGAAGACTCTTGAGAGACCCTTGGACAGCAAGGAGATCCAACCAGTCTATCCTAAAGGAGATCAGTCCTGGGTGTTCATTGGAGGGACTGATGATGAAGTTGAAACTCCAATACTTTGGCCACCTGACGCAAAGAACCGACTCATTAGAAAAGACTCTGATGCTGGGAAAGATTGAGGGCAGAAGGAGGAGGGGGCGACAGAGGATGAGATGGTTGGATGTTATCACCACCTCAATGCACATGAGTTTGGGTAAACTCCGGGAGTTGGTGATGGACAGGGAGGCCTGGCGTGCTGTGGTTCATGAGGTCGCAAAGAGTCGGACATGACTGAGCGACTGAACTGAACTGATTATGTGGATCTTTGTAAGCAAACTAATGTCTCTGCTTTTTAATACATAGTCTAGGTTTGTCATAGCTTTTCTTCCAAGGAACAAGTGTCTTTTAATTTCATGGTTGTAGTCACTGTCTCTAGTGATTTTGGAGCCCAAGAAAATAATGTTTGTCACTGTTTCCGTTGTTTCCCCATCTATTGCCATGAAGTGATGAGACCAGATGCCATGATCTTAGTTTTTTGAATGTTGAGTTTAAAGCCAGCTATTTCACATCTCCTCTTTAAGCCAAATTTGAACTTTTAAACCTTTATTACTTACAGTATAACTGTGCTAAATGTGCTCATTAGAAGACTGGATTGTCAGCTGTGACTTAAGTGCTCATAGCTGATAGTACTTCAATTGTTTTAGGCCTAAAGATGTGCTTTATCTTTTTTCTGATGCCTGGGAGAGTTGGTTGCTCTTTCAGCACTTGACACATATCTCTATCATGTCACTTAGTGCTCTGGGCTGTAATGATCTATTGATGTGTCAGATTCCTTCCCCACTGACTGACTACATGGGGACTATGTTCTTTATTTCTTTAGTACCTAGCATAAAGACTGTCCCATGGGGGACATTAAGCCATTCTTGAAAGAACGATAGGTCCTTGAATATGATTGCACAATCCAGTTGTGTATACATTTCCTAAAGTTTAATGAACGAATTTTTAATTAATCAAAAACCACTGGCTGAGCCTCTTTTTGCTCTATGGTCCACATGCTCAGTGAAACAGAAGGCACTGAACTTCTTGCTCTGTAGTGTAGGCACTTTGTATCTTTTGTCTGGAGGATACAAAGGTAAATGCCCCTGATTTCAAGGAGAGTCTGTGTGTGTACATGTGTTTGCACACATGCTGCTAAGTCACGTCAGTCGTGTCCAACTCTGTGCGACCCCATAGACGGCAGCCCACCAGGCTCCCCGGTCCCTGGGATTGTCTAGGCAAGAATACTGGAGTGGGTTGCCATTTCCTTCTCCAATGCATGAAAGTGAAAAGTGAAAGTGAAGTCGCTCAGTCATGTCTGACTCTTAGCGACCCCATGGACTGTAGCCTACTAGGCTCCTCCGTCCATGGGATTCTCCAGGCAAGAGTACTGAAGTGGGTTGCCATTGACTTCTCCGATGTGCACACATACAGACACATAAAAATAATTATAATGTGGAAGGTGGTAAGTGAAAGAAAGTTTAATGTCAGTTCAAGGAGACAGAGTAGAATAATAATTTAGGGCTATGTTTCTCAAAGTACCACTCTGTGAAGCTATTACGAGCTTGTGCCAAAATGTACATTAACACTTTGCTTCCTTCATCAAGAAAGTCTTGCTACTGAAAGACTTTGTATTAGAAGCTATTGAAAACAAAGTGTTGATTGAATAAAAGTGTTTAGTGTCTGGTTCATGCTTCTTATCTTGTCTTGAATTGAGAACAAGTTTGCTTATCAGCAGTTTGTCTTTGGATCATACTGAGTAACAAATGGTTAAGAGTGAAAACTCTGGAATCAAACTGCCTGGATTGAAATCCTAGTTCTACCCATTATTATCAAGATGACCTTGAGAAATTCTGAACCTTGGTTTCTTTGTCTCCATAATGTGATGATAATTTTCCCATTTTTTGAGTTCTGAAAATTAAATAGGAAAATATATGATAGCACTTAACAGAGAGACCAGCACACTGTAAACACTCTGTAAATAATATTATTGTTATTAATAATTAATGAGATTTTTTTCAACTGGCACAGTTTACAGGTAGCATCTCAGAAGCTGTGGTGGCAAAGGGGCATTAAATGCCGTTTACAGAATGTTACCATACCTTCAGTCAATCAGCTCCTTGAAGTAGCATTTTAAATTTTCAGATGAACTTTTAAAAAATTTTGTTTTTAAAAACTGGCTGTGAAAAGCTCTGACTACATTTGAGTAAAGGTAGGAAGCAGTAGCATTTGTTGAGCACCTACTATCAGCCAGCCACTCTGCCAAATAATTTTCTGTATATTATTTTACTTAATTCATATAAGCACCTTGCCATAGTGGGTCCAAGCATTGACTTTGGAGCCAGACTGCTTCAGTTTTTCCCCTGTTCTACATTCTCACTGTGTGACAGACCTTGGGCAGTTTTCTTAACCTATTTGTGTCTTGGTTTCCTCATCTATAAAATGAGGTTAATAAAAGTACCTATCTAATAAAGCTGTAGTGAAAATTAGCGAGTTAATATATTTAAAATACTTACAATTAAGTTTAGAAACTGTTGGCTGCTATTAGTAGCAGTAGTAGTAGAATAGAAGCTTGCCTATAGTCATACATCTAATCAGTGGCAAGGTCTTGATTTGAACCCATTTTTTTTCCTTCAAATTCTAAATTCCCTCTAACTGGTTCTCACACTGCTACTTGTATGATCTTTCTAGAATGGAAATATGATTATGTCACTCCCATGCTTAAGTTCTTCCATGGCCTCCCATTCCTTTAAGATCAAAATAAAAGTTCCTCACATGTCTTGCTAGGTGCTCCATTGTGTGGGCTTGTCTCTCTTGCCTTAACTCACACTTTTCTCTCCTCCTATCTCCAGTTACACTGACTTTGTTTTTTTGTCCTTTCCCACCTCAGGACCTTTGCATATGCTCTCTAACGCCTGGAATACTTTTTCCCCTTCAGCTAATCAACCGCTATGTTTTCTTAGGCTTTATTTTGAATGTCACTTCTTCAGAGAACCTCATTAAGTTAGGTCTTTACGTTATGTATTTAGGAGAAGCAAAGAGTATAAAACTTCCTTTTATAATGCTAACTCCTTACCATCATAATTACTTGACTATTACTAGACTCTAAGATCTGTGAGGCAGGGACTATTTCTGTCTTTATCAGCAGTCATGCTAAGACCTTGCACAGTACCTGACACATGGTGGGCACTGGATGAATACTTGTTGCATTGGATTTAGTTCCAATAGGCATAAACATAAATTCCTAGTATAACAGAATGAATCATATGCTGCTTTTTGCCTCTTTCCTTGTTCTTTGCTCCAAATAGTGCGGAGCATAAAGAAATGTTCACTTTTAGCAATTCACTTCTTTGCATTGATTGAGGTTTTCAGACCATTATATCAGGTATTCTTGCTGCCCAGTTTTTTAGAGATAAAATGATATTATTTTCTTCTGATTTTCATTTTATCTTGATCCATTTTTCCTTTAGGAGTTGGGAATAGGGCTCTGACCTTGAGATGGAATTGAGCAAGTGAGCTGTGTGCTAGCTTTTGTTCTATAAATGGTCTGCATCGCTGCAGCTGCAGCTCACCCAGAGGAGGAGAGGAAGAAAGAAGCCTTTCCTGTGGGTCCTTTTAATTTTCCTGTCTCTCTCGCCGAGCAGCTGTCTGAAGAGATGGAAATCTTACTTATCTGGGAGCAGCTTCCAAGCCTGAAGCTGACCAGCGCCTGTTCTCTGTGGAGAGTGAAAGCATCATTCTCTGTAAGGCTGCTCTTTCCTTTTTTTTTTAAATCCACTTACATTTTTTAAATGGAGGTATAACATATAGAGTCCACCGATTCTAAGTTCCCTAGCATCCTCGCAGGCCCTCTTTTGTCCTGTCCCAGCAGTACTCTTCAAAAGCAGCACTATTTTGTCATGTTAGGTTGACTCTTGAAATTCAACTACTTCATTTCTTCTCTTCTGTTTTCACTATCTAATTATCCAAATAATGTTTATTGCAGAAAACTGGGGAAGTACAGAAATATGTAGATACTAAAGAAAAATAACCTTTACTCTTATGACTCAAAGGTCTATTCTACTTTAAAATGACTACAGTTCCCAGTATTATTTTTTTTTTTTAAATCAAACTATGTCTGATTTTTCTATTGGTTCTCTTTGAGGGCCTCATGCCTCCTTGCCTTTGTAGACTGCCCTTTTTCAGAATGCCCTCCAGGCAAACATCTGTGTTCATTCTTTACATCTTGATAAAGCACTGCCTCACCTATGAAGCCTTCCTCAGGCTCTCCCGCTTTTCTCCCTTTTGTCTCTGTAATATTTGGTATATACCTATATTGCCTTTGTCTTCCTATCTTGCCTGGAGAATCCCAGGGACGGCGGAGCCTGGTAGGCTGCCATCTATGGGGTTGCAGAGTCAGTCACGACTGAAGCGACTTAGCAGCAGCAGCAGTGCAAATGTTTGTGTACTTACCTGTCTTCAAAACATTCTTAGCAAGCTCCTTGAAAGCATAAACTGCATTGCGCCCATCAGACTGCCTCGGACAGAACAGGATCTCAGTAAATGTTTGTTGAATAAGTGAATGAATAAATAAACAAATCAGTGAAATCTTGCTGAAGTAAGTGTTGAAGAATAAAGTGCATGCTCAGTGGTAGGAATGAACAAGTCCCACGTTATTCAGTCTTATCTGTGGAATGTCAAAAAAGAAAAAGAACATTTTAGAGGCTGTTTACTTTTCTGAAAGTTTTTACATAATTACTTTATTTGATTTTCCATAATAAGTTTATGAATGTGCCCCCCTCCCCATTTTTGGCCGTGCCATGCAGTGTACAGGATCTTAGTTCTCTGACCGGGGTTCGAACCCATGTCCCCTGCAGTGGAAGTGTGGAGTCCTAACTACTAGACCACCAGAGAAGTCCCTGATTTTTTTATAAAGAAATTATTGCCAAGTGTAAATTTGAAGTGATCAGAGATTGTGCTATAAAATGGAAGGGGTTGTTACTTCGGGTAGCTTACCTGGAAGTTTGCAATACCTAGCGTTTACTCACTGTTGTAAGGGCAAGGGAATTGGCATTTGTAGGCAGAGTATGCCAGGCAAATTACTTACATAATCTTATTTAATTATTGCTAAAACCCTATGAACTAGGTATTATTATCTTCATTTAATAGCTGAAGAAACAAAGACCCAGAGAGCTGAATTAGTTTGTCCAAGGTCAAATAGGTAATAAGTGGCAGAGCCAACATTTAATCCAGTACTGACTCTCATGTTTCCAAATCACTTTCCGTTACACCAGACTTCTTTTTGTAGCAGTCCATCTGTAGAGGGTCATGCTCCTTTCTCTTAATTCATGAAGTTTTGTGTAGTATGAAAATTCAGCAATCCTACTGTTGTTATTAGTATTCCATTTATCTTCAGTTTTAGGAACTTTTTGATAAGATGAACACAATACTAATATCATATTTCTGTGTAATCATCAGTTCTATCTCAGCACCATATCTGATTCTCATAATTGTCTTTTGATATAAGCCTGGATTGTAATTCCCATTATTCATGAAGAAACAGAGTCCAAGAAGGAGAAGGGACTTGCCTAAGTAAATATTGCTAATAAGTGGCAGGACTAAGACCTGACCCCAAGTCCAGCACTCTTTTCATTGTGGTATACAGATCTACTGAAGCTGATTATAGTGAGCATAGATTACAACACTGTTTCTCAACCTGGAGACATTTACCAATGTCTGGTGATAGTTCTAATTGTTATCACTTTGGGGGTACTACTAGCATTTGCTGGATATAGAGGTTAGGGATGCATAAGCCAGCCCCCACAACAAGTTCTAAAGGATCAATAGTGCAGACATTAAGAAATCCTGCTGTAGAATTGGAGCAGGGGACTCCCTTGGTGGTCCAGTGGTTAAGACTGTGCTTCCACTGCAGGGTGCATGGGTTTAGTCTCTGGTCGGAGAACCAAGACCTCACATGCTTCACAGGATGGCCAAAATTTTAAAAAAATAAATAAGTAAAATAAAAATACAACTGGAGCAGGATTGGGTTTCATGCCTCATTTCTTCAGAAGAGATGAAATACCCAAGGTTAGCCTCCAGAGTGTACCTAGTGGTGAACTTAATTCTTTTAGAACTGGCTATTATTTAGTAGCAGCAAATACTTTAGTAGAGTAAATACCAGGCTTTACTCAGAGTGTTATATTAAGCATGACTACGGATGCATAAAAGTATTAGACATGGTCTATCCCCTCATGGAGTGTAAAGACTTCTGGAGAAGGTGTAAGAGGATCTGGTTACTTTGACCCTGGCTGCAGATAGACAGCCCAAGGTTGCAGGAGCTACTGCATGCAGTAGTGACTGCACTCAGGGACTACCCTGACTGAAGTGGTGTGGCTGGCTTAAAGGAACCCTCCCAATAGCTGACTTTTCCTTCCCACAGTTATGCGATGCCCACCAAAACCATGGAGGTGTTGCAACTTCAGGACCAAGGCAACAAAATGTTACTGGACTCAGTTCTTACCACCCATGAGCGAGTGGTTCAGGTAGGTACTCTGGAAGAAACATGAAATGTCTCTACCTCTCCTGGTTCTTTCTTGGCTGAGTTTCAAACCTGATATCCAGTTGTCTACTGGGTTTCTCCACCAAGATGTTCAACAGGTGCCCTACACTTAGTGTATACAAGACTAATTGTAGGAGGACTGTTGTTTTTCCCCCTATAATCCTCCTCACCTTTGAGCTTAATGCTTGACCCTTCTTTGACCTTGGGTATCCATTCATTCTCCAGATTCTATGGTTTCTACCCCTAAAAACCTTTCAGATCCATCCACTTTGCTTTACACTTATGTCAATGTGATCATGTCATTTTCCCACATAGACCCCCTCAGTGGCTTTCCTTTAACTCTGTATTCATTAGCAGTCACTCCTTTTTCCCCATTCCCCTAGCTCCCGGCAACCACTAATCTACTTTCCATTTCTGTGGTTTTACCTCTTCTAGACATTTCTTCAAATGAAATTATATAATATATAGCCTTCTATAACTAGCTTCTTTCACGTAGCATACTGTTTTCTAGGTTCATCCATGTTGTAGTAGTAGCACATATCAATACTTCATTCCTTTTTACTGCCAAATAATATTCTAACACATGGACTTCACCCTTTTTGATAAACTCAAGAAATGTATCAGGAAGATAACCAGCAGGATGTTAAGGTAGCAACACCTTAAATCTATGTTAAATTTTTAAATGATTAAAGTACTTACAATCTTGGTTCTTTAAATATTATCAGGAATAAATTATTTGAGTTTCATTTTATGACAGATCTAACTTGCCCCCAAGGCCCATAGGATAAAGTTTGAACTCTTTTGATTAGCACCTAAGTGGCTTCATGATTGTTCTCCAGCTTTTCCTCTTCACACCTTCATTCATTCCAGCCACACATGGAACTAGTTTTAATTCCCTAGTACTGTAGTACTGTGCTATTCCTCCACATTTTACTGAATATTATTTTCTCTGCCTTAAAAAAAAACAAACCAACTCCACACTACAGTTGAACTCTCCCAATTTACCCTTGTTTTTCAAGACTCCAACCAGATGTTACCTCTTTTGGAAGCTTTTTTTTTTTTTAACCTCCCTGATTAAGTTAGGTAGATGTTTCTCTTCTGGGTTCTGCCTGCCCCCTGCATGCCCTTCTTCCACACATCTGATTTATCTTTGGATCCTCAGCACAGGGTCTGATGACAATCAGGTGGTGGTCTATGTGGGTAAACTTGAGTTGACTCAGAAAGTCATCCTGGACTTAACCTCTTGATCCAGTTATGACATTCGTTGCCTACAAGAGCAGATATTGGCCATGACCATCTCAGTAATCAGACAACTTGGCAGATCAGCAAGAGAAATTGAAATCCTGTGAAGTCTGAGCTCCAAAACCAGCTCTGGGTGTTAATCCTTCACCCAAAGCCCCTCAGGCTCTACTGGAGCTGACATTTGAGCCCTTGCCCCTTCTGCCCAACCACCTAACTTTCAGTGACTCTCTTCGATCATCTTCTTTCCTTTGCAGATCAGCGGTTTGAGTGCTACGTTTGCAGAGATTTTCTTGGAAATAATCCAAAGCAATCTTCCTGAAGGAGTCAAATTGTCAGTGAGGGAGGTAGGTGCTAATTTGAGAAGAGGCCCACTGGTGGGCTCAAAATATCGATAAGGAAATCTGGACTGGCTGACTTTAGAAACAGCAAAGGCTTGTGGATAATTTAACCCAGATAATAATCAGGAAAGGTATGCAGGCTGCTTTACCATGATCATTAGTCTGACTGTTCCAATGCATCAGGGATGATACTTCATAGACCATGAAAGCTGAACTCTGTCAGAGCATCCTGATGTTAGGGGTAGCCCATTTTACCTCCAAATTCCCTCCCTTGAGGCAGCTGTATAGCAGAAAGAATATGATTTAAGATCACATACACTATAAGTAATCAGAACACAAATAGGGAAATGTACTAAAGCAAGGAGGAAGTCCAATTCAAATTTAAGTCCTTGATACCTAGTATAAGTCTGGTACATAGTCCGTGTGTGCATGCTAAATCGCTTCAGTCATGTCCGACTCTTTGCAACACTATGACTGTAGCCTGCCAGGCTCCTCTGTCCATGGGGATTCTCCAGGCAAGAATACTGGAGGTGGATTGCTGTGCCCTCCTCCAGGGGATCTTCCTGACCCAGGGATGGAACCCTGGTACATAGTAGCTACTCAGTAAAAGTTAGTTGAATCCAAATAATTTTCTATAGAGCTGGCTGATGTATCCTTTTCTGATGCTGGGCATATTTGAGTGACTCTGTAGTAATTCCGTCTTATTTTCTTTTTCTTCTCCATAGCACACTGAAGAAGACTTTAAGGGAAGGTTCAAAGCTCGACCAGAACTGGAAGAACTGTTAGCCAAGTTGAACTAGCTCATTGCAGACCCTTTCATGCCTTTCAGCACTGGTGATATTGAGTGGCAAGGGGAAGAGCTTCCTGGGTGGCCAGAGTTGAGCAGGAGACCCTGACCCTCAACATCATAAGTACCCATCTCCACTGCCAGGAGTGTCTCCTCTCCTTGCTTACCAATTGTCACCACTTTTCTTTGAGCCAACCCTGGGTATCCTCCATCTAATAAAAAGCTGCTGCTGATGGATGTGTGTGTGTTTGAGAAGTCAGTCCATCCTGTGGAGTATCTTTAACTAAGGGATTGGATTTCTCTTTGCCTGGTGCTTTAGCACACAAGTGTGTTCCCCTTCAGAATTTCTCCAATTAAGAGTGAACTCATCCTTTAAATCAACCTGGCATGGAGTCCCTTTAATGAGGCAGGCAATCACAAGTAAACTCTCCACATATAAAAGGCACAGGGAGGGAGATTTTGTATATGAAAAAAACCCTCCAGATAGAATCAAGGTGTTTATAAGTGAAAAAAAAAAAATTACCTTGTGGGGTAGTGAGTGACTTGTCATAAGTATGCAGGTAGATGTTACATAACTGCAAATTAGGGTTGCCTGGAATAAGTTTAAGCAAAGAATTAAAGGTTGATCTTGGTCAGGTGTCAGGAAACTGCAGCCTGTGAGCCAAATCCCATCAGCTGCCTATTTGCTTTTTAAAAATAATTTATTGAGGTGACATTCATGTGTCACAAAACTAACCATTTGAAAGTGAATAACTGCACGGTATTTAATACATTTGCAGTGTTGTGCAACCTCTATCCAGTCCCAAAACCCTATTTCAAACCCCCATAGACAAAAGGTTATGGGAACAGAGCCTGACTCATTCATTTATATATTGTCTGTAGCTGCTTTTATGTTGCCATGGCGGAGCTGAGTTGCTGTGACAAAGACAGTTAAGCTAAAACATTTTTACATGGCCTTTTATAAAAATAGTTTGTCAAACATGGATCTAAGTCATTGGTTTTCAGACTTCAGCATGCATCAGGATCACCTGCAAGACTCTGAAGAACACGAATTACTGGACTCCATTCCCAGATTTTCTGACTTAGATCTTGAGCAAGGGTGCTGCTGCTGCTGGTCAGAGTTGCCTCTTTGTTGCCGCGAGTCTTAAGGGCTTCCCTGGTGGCTCAGACAGCAAAGTGTCTGCCTGCAATGTGAGGGACCCAGGTTCCATCCCTGAGTTGGGAAGATGCCCTGGAGAAGGAAATGGCAACCCACTCCAGTACTCTTGCCTGGAAAACTCCATGGACAGAGGAGCCTTGTAGGCTACAGTCCATGGGGTCACAGAGTCGGACACGACTGAGTGACTTCACTTTACTTCATATGTGTGTGCATGCAGATGATAACCCTGTGTGAAAATGTGTGAGTGCATCTCACATTTATTGACCTCTAAGTATGCTCTATACTTTATACAGATTATCCTTGGGGTTGATGGTATTATTTCCAATTTTACAGGTGAAGAAACTGAGGTTTGAAGAGCTGAATCGACATCCTAGGGTCACACAGCTAAAAAGTGGCACACCTCTCCCCTCTGTTACCCCCTACTTCTCTTGGATAACCTATACAGAGGTCTGGGAGAGTTTTAGAGCATTCTTAGCACTGCATGTACTTTCCTGATACTTTTCAGAAATTTTCAGCTTTGAAGTTATTTTGGTTTCTTTGACTTGGTTTCTAAAAGCAACAGGGGAAACTCAGATTTCTTCTCAACGTGTAACACTGGGGAGGGCTGTCAAGATAGCAGGTACCCTCAATTAAAATGCTTTTCTGAATTCAAATTGAAGGTTCAGCAGGCCAGGACTTAGAAGGGAACCCCACTGGGAGTATGGGCAGAATTTGCCAGGTGAAGACTGATATTTTGGTTGGAGAATTAATCATTGCTGAGTTTCCTTTAGGGGAGATGAGAGAGCAGCAGCTAGTGGATGACTGTAAAGTTGGAGGATGTGTAGTGACTTGAAGATAAGGTGAATAAACATATGTATACACAGACAGGCTTCCCAGGTGGCACCAGTGGTAAAGAACCCGCCTGCCGATGCGGGAGACATAAGAGACAAGGGTTTGATCCCTGGGCTGGGAAGATCCCCTGGAGGGCATGGCAACCCACTCCAGTATTCTTGCCTGGAGAATCCCCATGGACAGAAGAGCCTGGGCGGACTACAGTCCATAGGGTTGCAGAGTTGGACACAACTGAAGCGACTTAGCACACACACATACACACAGACACACAGTGCCTCCATATCACACGGGCAATGGGCAATGTCACATGGGCCCCATTTCAGTTCAGTTGCTCAGTCGTGTCTGGCTCTTTGTGACCCCATGAATCGCAGCATGCCAGGCCTCCCTGTCCATCACCAACTCCCAGAGTTTACTCAAACGCAAGTCCATTGAGTCGGTGATGCCATCCAGCCATCTCATCCTCTGTTGTCCCCTTGTCCTCCTGCCCCCAATCCCTCCCAGCATCAGGGTCTTTTCCAATGAGTCAACTCTAAGCATGAGGTGGCCAAAGTATTAGAGTTTCAGCTTCAGCATCAGTCCTTCCAATGAACACCCAGGACTGATCTCCTTTAGGATAGACTGGTTGGATCTCCTTGCAGTCCAAAGGACTCTCAAGAGTCTTCTCCAACACCACAGTTCAAAAGCATCAATTCTTCGGTGCTCAGCTTTCTTCACAGTCCAACTCTCACATCCATACATGACCACTGGAAAAACCATAGCCTTGACTAGATGGACCTTTGTTGACAAAGTAATGTCTCTGCTTTTTAATATGCTGTCTAGGTTGGTCATAACTTTCCTTCCAAAGAGTAAGCATCTTTTAATTTCGTGGCTGCAATCACCATCTGCAGTGATTTTGGAGCCCCCAAAAATAAAGTCAGCCACTGTTTCCTCATCTATTTCCCATGAAGTGATGGGACCAGATGCCATGATCTTCGTTTCTGAATGTTGAGCTTTAAGCTAACTTTTTCACTCTCCTCTTTCACTTTCATCAAGAGGCTCTTTAGTACCTCTTCACATTCTGCCATAAGGTGACAGCATTTTCACAACTGATCAGATATACACTTAAGATTGTTGTTTCACCATTATCTCCATTCATACATTATCTCCATCTCAAGTTCCTAAAAGGGATTACCCCCATTTTACACATCAGAAAACTGAGGTTTGATGAGATTAAAATAACTCACCCGAGACCTCAAAACTAATAAATGTAGAAATTAAGAATAGCTCAGGTTTGTCTGCCTCTTTTCTTTATAATAGGTTCTTTCAGGAAGGCAGGAGAAGGAATTAATATTTTCAGCCTAGAGCCCAGAGACTTGTATTCCATTTGATTTCCCTTCCATGTGTTTCTAGGGAAGTTCACTTCCCTCTAAAGAGTCAAATGAAGCTCATAATTGTTTTGTTAACTCTGAAGTTCTAGCAATCAGAATATCTGTCCCTTTTACCAGGATAAGGCATGATGAGTAATTTTCATCTGTTTCAGGGCAGACTAATCACAAGCAACAAAATCCCTTTGGCTCTGGTGAGAGGATAAATCACTAACTAGGTCAGTGACACAAGAGCTCCAAGGTGACAGAACCCAGAAGCCTCCTGTTTAAGAGGGAAGCCTGACTCATCCCTCATGATGTAATGGAAAGAGATGGACTGGGAATCAAGAGATCTGAATCCTGCTCCCAGTTCTGCCAATGAGGTGCCTTGTCACCTTGACTAAAGCACTGCCCTTCCTGGGCCCTAACCTGCACTTGTAGAATAAAAGAGGTTAGGCTGGCTGGGTCCCAAGTCCCTCAGCTCTAGAATCTTGTAGATTTGTGAAACCGTGCATTTTGCTTTCACAAGTTATTAACAAGGAAAGGTGGACAACTGGAAAATACCACTGTATTCCAGGTTCCTATATTAAAAAGCAGAGACATTACTTTGCCAACAAAGGTCCGTCTCGTCAAGGCTATGGTTTTTCCAGTGGTCACGTATGGATGTGAGAGTTGGACTGTGAAGAAAGCTGAGCGCCGAAAAATTGATGCTTTCGAACTGTGGTGTTGGAGAAGACTCTTGAGAATCCCTTGGATTGCAAGGAGATCCAACCAGTCCATCCTAAAGGAGATCAGTCCTGGGTGTTCATTGGAGGGACTGATGTTGAAGCTGAAACTCCAATACTTTGGCCACCTGATGTGAAGAACTGACTCATTAGAAAAGACCCTGATGCTAGGAAAGATTGAGGGCAGGAGAAGGGGATGACAGAGGATGAGGTGATTGGATGGCACCACCCACTCAATGGACATGGGTTTGAGTGGACTCAGGGAGTTGGTGATGGACAGGGAGGCCTGGCGTGCTGCGACTCATGGGGTCACTAAGAGTTGGACACCACTGAGCAACTGAACTGATACTGATGAAACCTACACTTTTATCAAGTTAAAAGACATTTCCACCCCCCAGAAAGTTCCCCTACCTTCTTTGATAGTCATTCTTCCCAGAAACAACCACTAATATCATTTCTATTACCACAGGTTAGTTTTGTCTAACAATATATAAATAGCATTGAGTATATACCCTTTTATGCCTAACTTCACTCACTTATCCTGATGTTTTTACTCATGTTGTTGCATGTAACTGTAGTTCATTCCTTCAGCATACTTTTAGTTTTGGACAGTTAGGGTTAAAATATGTCTAGTACTGCTGCAAAAACATGAGGGCTAGGCAGGAGATAAGAAAGAAAAGGTTGGTGGGAATGCAAATTAGTACAGCCACTATGGAAAACAGTGTGGAGATTTCTTAAAAAGCTGGAAATAGAACTGCCATATGACCCAGCAATCCCACTTCTGGGCATACACACCAAGGAAACCAGATCTGAAAGAGACACGTGCACCCCA